ACTTCGGATACATGCCGTTTTCAATGGCTTCATACAAATCCTTCCTGTGAAAGTCGGGGTCCTGACCAGCTAGCTTCATTGCCTCATCCCATACGAGTGAATGGACACCTAGCTCTGGAGTGAAATGGAACTTGACGAAGTGACGCTCGCCGTTCTTATTGATTAGTGTATATGTGTTGACACCAAATCCCTGCATCATTCGGAAAGAGCGAGGTATCCCTCTGTCGGACATTGCCCACATATACATATGTGTGGCTTCTTCGTGCATGTACACGAAATCCCAGAAGTTGTTGTGCGCTGATTGGCCCTGGGGAACTTCATTATGAGGCTCGCTACAACATTCAGGGTCAGTAAGTGCCAGCTTGACCGTGTGGTGATAGGTTTCGAAACTGTCATAGACTTCCAAAGCATGAATTTGCCGTTGAAGAGTATGATTATTGGAATTACTCACGGTTTCACACTATGGACGAAGTCCGGGAATTTTATGGCATCCTGGATGACTATTTAACTTATTAGTTTAAAGCCCCTGGTAAGCTCAATGGTGAACAATTTTGCCAGCGCGAGGATTGTTTAGGGATCTTGTAAAGGGGACGTGAATGTGCGGGTTTAGAACGCGTGAACCGATAGGAGAATGTATACTCACAAAAAACCGGGATGTCATTTCCAACTATGTCCCAATTTCCTTCGTTGGTCTGCCAGCATTTGAAGTCAGTATTATCCCCATTTTGGACCAAAGCCACGAGTGTTTTCAAACTATAGGAGGGTCCTAAGAGATGACTTATGGAGCCTTGACGCTCTTGAGAGTCCCGAAAATAAGATTATAACCTCGCGAACTTACGTAAAATTTGACTGCGAAACCCCTAACATCACGAACGGTATCAGCGCTACCCCTCGATCCCTGGACTGTGGAGAACCGAACGAAAACTGGTGTCTCTCGGGAGGTGTCCGTTAATACGGGGGCGATGGTTAAGTCTTCTACACTCTCGAAAAGTCTGAAGTTGCCGAAGGCCCCGGCGCCACGGGCATGGACGACTCGCTCTGGGATTCTCTCGTGGTCAAATCTGTGAATCTGACATAGTTAGTCTAAACTGAATGGCGTGTTGTTCGACAGGCGAAATACATACTCGTTCTCGTGCATAGCTATCTTCAAGTAGCATCGGACCAATCTGGTCGTCTCGGTTCACCCTAAGCCACTCATCGGCAGTCGGTTCCTTTACACCAAAGTCGGTGGTGATGCGGTCGTCCTTGGAAAGGGTCCGAGTGACCGAGTCCAGCTGGGCGATCTTTCGCCCCTTCTCGCCGGAAATCATGTTCTTGACTTTATCAACAGTCGACATCGACAGGTCAAATAAGGACATGTATGGTATTGGTTACTGGAAAGAAGCCAATTGAGCTGATTGTAACTTTATGAGGTGTTGAATCTCAGTTAATGTATGCAAAAAGAGCACACCATCTCTTTGATAATTATAGAGAGTCATAGGAGGGGTATGTGACACAGAGAGTGTTCATGATCGACTGCAGGCTGTATTTACTTCGTAACGCCCTCGCAGTATTGACGTCACTTTTCATCGTGAGCTTTGCCACAATACCCTATTTCCGAAGGACGGTATTTTGGCGAAAATGCGGGCATGTCCGCACGCCAGGTTAGAAATCTACTATGTTTCATACAATTGACAAGAATTGGTCAAGCGGAGGTCTGATGGCTTTACTTTTCGTCGATGTCGATGACAGAGTACTGATGCAATAGGGAGCTTCGTGTCCGCCACGATAAAGGCGTAGCCCAAAAAAGAAATACCTATTGTAGATAGCTTTCAAGCTTCGACCAATCAAGGTGTTGTCTTTTGAATTCAAGTACCGCGAGAGCTCCCTAACTCGATGGAGAACCCTGTTGGCGTTTTGTTCGAAAAGCGGTTGTCGATTAATGAGTTATTCAACTTAGCGGAAAATCGGCCCTCAAAAGAACTAGAATTATCGAAAAGAGAATTCCATCTTAAGAACTTTCCCTTGGGTACTGTTTGGATAGTTATAGCATTGCCGACACTACGTCGACATAACTCAGCTCTACTTGTATTTTCGAATTACCCATGTAAAAAGTAGTAGTCTGCACCAATTCGCACCGATTTGTTAATGATTGGATATTGGGACTCCAAGTCGAGAACAAGCTCAAACCATCAGGGGACAGGCCACATTTAAGGGTACCTAAGTTCTCCCTACTAGACATGTAAGTTTAGATGTGATGATTTCTATGATACTGCAAACGTCGGCCAATAATAACAGCCATTATAGCCGTCCTCCTGTTCATCCCACTTACGAGGAATCCAAGGATCTTTTCTTACGGGTACTTTCCCCGGTGGTCGCGCTTCCGGTTGATGGCGCCGATGATGCCGATATCGATGTAACCGCAATCGGCGAATATCTTGGCTCGGCTGTGTCCGGCTTCGTGGACCATCTCTTTGCTGACTTCTTACCCCTAAAAGACAGATACGTCCCATGCCTTTCTCGTCTTTGACTTATTCCTATAGTGCGATCCTCTTCCAACAAAACGCCGCGGCTCCCTCCGCTGCTCCCTCCGCTAACCGATTCTGTGATCCATCGGGGGTAAGGCCGGAATTCGTTGGGACAACAGAACGGATAGCTGGTCTTCGGAGCGACTGTCTTGTTCTGATCGTTATTAGTCACCACTTCGATATGAAGGAAACAGTTAAATGCCTGAACAGGAGCTGTGATAAGGCAAAAGACGATGGTAGGGTTCCCGTACCGACTTCTCATGCTTGCGATTTTCATCTCAGATCAGCAGAATCAATACCGGCCAACTTTTGTTAGCATCCTTAGAAACGGCTTGACGTTCTCAACATGTTTGACCAAGGAGTTCCTTAATCAGAGGCAAGAGATAGTCAAGACTACGGAGCGCTATCACGCTGACCGCCGATCTCCATGACCATGTTGGTAACTTTGACGTGATTCCAAAGCCTGCACTTGGTGAGAAAATATGCCTACCGAATCTGATCCTTCCTCCATTCGTTTCCGTCGTACGCATGCTTTACCTCACCAGGAACTGGAACATTGGACCCCCTTCACCACAGCTTCTTGTTCTCCACGATGCTATTGCTCACATCCTTCGCCTCTCTGGGACAAGCGTCAATATCGATAACGTCATGAAGCATACCGAACTGAAGGCCTCGCATATAACGGTATTGTATTTCCATTCCGAGGGAGTTGTCTTGAATAATCGCGGAGGAGACTCTCTTTGAACGAGGACCGGAGTTGCACCCTATGGCCTAGAATGATGAGCTGTGCTTTAAAGCGCGGTTCGCGTAATGATAGTCCATCACCCGGCTACGAGGAACCTAAGCGCGGAATGAGTTGACGTGTGAGGACGAAAGCCCTCTCTCATTTATCACTGATAAAAGCGGAACTATAGCTCTAGTGCCTTTCGACACCATAGCAGTATCCCAACAATTACGAACGAGGTAATGCGTTGAAGAAATTGAGATGCGGGATCTGGTTGCATCAAATGCCGCGGAGATTTAGGATTGTCATAGTCAACTTCACTATGCTTACCAATCACGCCTTTAGTATGCCATGAGGTGAATCACACCTGTGATGCGTCATTGTGATAGAACCAATAGGATATAGTAGAGGGGGTGAAAAAGTATTTAAAGATGGTAAAGTTCAAGAAATGGTTCCCTATAGTCAAAAGTGCAAACCAGAACTCAATAGATATAGAGCAGTTTCGTCTTTTCGCACCAAAACGAACATGTCTTCTACCACGCCTGTTGCTTCGGCGGACGATATTGCGAGACACGGGTGGACGGCCGTACCGTGTGATGCAAACATCATTTTCAATAAGAATCCTATAGTGAAACCATCGGCCTTGAAAGTCACGGATATACAATTTCCGGCTGATGATCCCGTGGTCGCCAAAGTGCAACAATACGCGAAGGAGCATCTCTCGGAGCAGACGTACAACCACTCCATGCGCGTATACCACTGGGGTACGTATACCCATCCAGCGCATAACTGCGTCAGTATGTTGTCATATTGTGTGGACTTACACCTGTGGCAGGCTTTTCGATCATCAAGGATCAATTCCCAGAGCACGCCAGCAAACTATCACTGTCTACGTGGGCGTTGGCCTGCCTCCTTCACGACATTGGGACCACGCATGATAACCTGCGTGCGACGCTTTTGTCCTTCGAGTTCTACGGCGGTATTCTCGCCCTGAATCTCACTAGGGAGCACGGTGCATCGGAGGCGCAGGCTGAAGCTGTCGCGGAGGCCATCATTCGCCATCAGGATTTGGGGACGGTAGGGACTATAACGTTCCTCGGACAGGTGATCCAGCTCGCGACGATATATGATAATATGGGCGGCAATCCCGGACTGATCGACGAGATAACTCGGCTGGATGTCAATAAGGCGTTCCCGCGGAAGGGCTGGAGTGGGTGCTTTTCCAAGACTATTAGGGAAGAGAACGGCCTCAAGCCCTGGGCGCATACTACTCATCTAGGCGAAGAAGATTTTCCCGAAGGTGTCAAGAATAATAGTCTCATGGCAGATGCGGATAACTGGGGGTTATAAAGACAATGTATGTATGTATGGGCAACAGGATTATGAATCAGGTTCAAGTAGAGTAGAAGAGGGGAAAACAAAAGTATAACTCGACTTGGCTGCCTGATGAAGAATGGAAGATATGTTATATATAAACTACCTATAACTAACGCAGTAGATTTGTTTTGCTTTATTTAGGAAACCCCTATCTGTCTGTGCCTTCTGAGTCTGTACCTACTCAAAAAGACGAATGTCTATGGGAAGACTCCGGTACTAACCCATCAATTTTAGGTGGGTCTCTTCATATCTGCTCAGGTTACTGCACAGCGACTGTCGCACGGTGTACACTGCTGTCCAGGTGTCGCATATCAATCGTAAAGAGAAACAAATACAGCCAATACATGATTGCATCCGTCAAAATAAATTTAGACAAATAAAAATTCATCACATAGTCGTACCGTGGATCGAACACGGAACCGTCTCGGGACAATGTACACATATATTGTGAACGAGAAATCATAACCATTAGACCATACGACTCAGGATCCAGTCATCTATGTGACCTGCCAAAGCACTGGCTATCCGGGATTTAGGCAGAATGTATATAGGAAAAGGTCACGCTGGCCTACAAGTCTACAATGCATGCATGTGTTTAAATGTAGTCTAGATAGAATCCGATGGGCGCTCTAGATTGAAATTTTGATAGGAATACGCGATCTAATAATTCCCTAGTGGAAGATTACTATATATTAAATCATGTTCCTAAGAAGGTATCAACTTGGCAAATTCCAACGCTACCTATTGTAAGTCGGCTAGCAATGATGGTTGGCTACAGGTTGCCTCCGTTACTGGAATGTTACACATAGAGTGGCGAAGCCACGCACTTCTAGCCTTAGCACGGCCACATTCTTAGAGCTGCGCGCCCCGCAACACGTGAAAGGGTTGGCTTGTAAGCTACCTAGGTAGAAACTGACGTCATATACTACTTCCAAGCTTTCGTGGAACATACAATGACTACCCATAGCTGCGAATAGACGTGCCAGGAGCAGCATGTTTGTTAATGTAGCTTAATACAGTACGTAATTGAGCCATTACGTATTCAATCGCCAAGAGCAGCACTCAACTTGACTCTAAAGTTTTGAGTCTTATAAGAACGACGCCCTTCCCTCCCTACACAGTATGGCTCTGCTTGTCATGGCCTGAAACTGCTTGGCATCAAGCGAACGGATTGCAATTGCGCGCTGGAATTCAGTTGTGCGCCCAACGACCTGATAATCGCCCGATTTTTCATTGATCCTCTTCATCTTCACACTTTCTCCCAGCACTTCTGGATCGCGCATCTGTCAATCATGGGAAGTTATATCGCCAAATGGATTGGGGGAAAACTTATCCAAGATAAGATTCTTAAGGAGAGGCTTGAGAATAGGTTTGGTGTGGATGTAAGTATATGACCATTGGAGTCGTGTCCAACGTCGGGCGCATCGCCACTACATCAATGATAGTCCATAGGCTACCTAAGGGACTAACCTACTGTATAGGACCCCTACTTTGAACAAGTTCCTGCTACAAGGCTCAACGGTACCCCAAACGGTAAATTCAAGAAAGTTCGCAAGGCCTTGCCACCGGGCCTCTCCCCGCATGATGCAGAAGTGCTCAACAAGGTGAAGAGAAGGGCCTACCGGCTGGACATGGCTTTCGGCAGTTTTCTGGGCATCAAATTTGGTTGGGGTAGCTTCATCGGCCTTTTTCCCATGTGAGTATTGTGGTCAGGCCGCGTCACTTTTGCCGACTAACCATTTCTTCTGTTTTATTAGATTTGGAGATTTCACAGATGCATTCTTAGCATACCTTGTCATTCGCACGGCCAAACAGGTCGAAGGTGGCTTGCCCCTTTGGCTCCGCTTCACGATGTACTTCTGGTTGCTCGTAGATTTGATTATTGGATTCACACCCTTTGTTGGTGACATCGCCGACGCGTTAGTCCTTGCCAATACGCGGAACGCAGCCGCCTTGGAATCATATCTTCGAGAAAAAGGCAAGAAAAATCTCCGTGCTAGCGGCCAGCCCGTTCCCGCGAGCGACCCCAGTGACCCAATCGAGTTCGATCGTCTCCATACCGAGTCGCCAGAAGACACATCGCATCCTTCTCGTGTAAACCAAAAATCTATCAATGAGTCGTCCAGTCAACATCCCCCTCAAATAAGTGGTGTTGTATCCACACAGCCTCCTCCGTCACAACCGGCACCGGCGAAGGTCAATGATGGCCAGCAAGGCAAATCTGGCAGAAGTTTCTTTGGGTTTAGTAGCAAGAAGTCTCGGCCCACTGACCTCGAGACCGGCAATGCCCCTGCCAACTAACGGCGGGGATGAGTGGAGTGTTGACTATTCTTTTGAGGAGCTGCGTCATTGAAAAATTGCTATTGTAATCTTGAGTAAAGGCGGCGTGGCAACGGCGTGGCGTAACTTGGAAGCGTCCCTGTTATACTGTGTTTACAATTGAAGGCGTAAGGGATGAATTGTATTTTCACTTGGCAGACACTGGCATCGTTTCGATTCCAGAGGAATGGGTCTTAAACCTCACGAGACACGAGACACGGATTTAGACTCGACTAATGTATAATTAGCAATCAAATCAAACAATACAGCACAATGTAGGTAGGCCCTTGCGGATCTTGAAGTCAATAATTAGAAACTGGATAGACGACCCGGTACAATGTTAAAGGGAGAGGATGAAATACCTGCTCTATTATAGTGTACTAAACAACCATGGTTGCGCGTCATAATGGTTTCTTGGTCATGACGCGCCCATTGGCTTAGACCCCCTAGGTAATCTCATTTCCGACCTGATTATCAGATCTGATAAGTCCTATAACTACCGATACTGTGTAAATAGGTAATTCCTATAATTCCTATACCTAATTCCGACTTGCCGCTAGCCTTTTCAGGTCATATTTAGGCCGAAACGCCGAAGAAATTGGTAACACACAATGTACAAATACAGTCAAGGGTAAAGGCTGGGGTTTCAGCTGGTCTCTTCTGTGCGAGGCTGGAGCTGTACCCCGGTTGACGCGTGAAAATCGAATGGCGGGGCACTAAAACGCGCTCTCAATGGGCTCAATAGCGCGTTATGCCATTGTATAGTGGGTGATCTAGTGCACGTGATTTGGCGCGAGCTACTGCTTAAAAGGTTGGCTTCCCAACACGCCTCAAATCTTCATCTGCATCCCCTCAACCACCACCACCACCACTCCCACCAAACAAACCACTTAACGCGTGCCACAACACTTCTGAAGATTAGCTCAGCCTGTAATTGAATTGGTCTTCTGCATCTTCATCTTCAGTTTAGTATCATCTTCATCATTCCATACAATGGCAACTGAGATCACCCCCTCCAAGAAGGTATGTGGCGTTGTTGTTCTGTCGCAAACAATCTAGTGCATTTGTTCCGGTAGCTAACGCGTGCTTTGCTCAGGCTGCCTCTGCCATTGAGTCCTTTAGGATGGAATCTCCTGTCAAGAAGCTGGACTTTGCTGCTTCTAGCAAAGAGAATGCGCCTTTCGACGCCGACGTCCACACCCTCGCCAACCAGATCGACTCCCACGCGCCCACACCAGAGAAGCACAATATGGAGCCCAAGGAGGAGCCCAAGGCTGTTGTAGCTCCTGGAATCAAGCCTGAGGAGGCTGATGAGCCCCTCTTGCAAGAGAACCCGCAGCGCTTCGTCCTGTTCCCCATTAAATATCATGAGGTAAGTGACGCGTCTTTTACGCGTTAAGTGGTTTTCCAACGCGGCATGGGGCTGACCACCTGCTTTACCGAACAGATCTGGCAAATGTACAAGAAAGCTGAGGCGTCTTTCTGGACTGCTGAAGAGATTGATCTGTCCAAGGATTTGCACGATTGGAACAACAGAATCAATGAGGACGAGAAATATTTTATCTCCCATATCTTGGCTTTCTTCGCCGCCTCTGACGGTATCGTGAACGAGAACCTTGTCGAGCGTTTCAGTGGCGAGGTTCAAATTCCCGAAGCTCGCTGCTTCTATGGTTTCCAGATCATGATGGAGAACATCCACTCTGAGACATACTCTCTCCTCATTGACACCTACATCAAGGAGCCTGCTCAGCGCACGCACCTTTTCAATGCCATTGACACTAGTATGACTACCAATCCAGTATTCCAGACAACTAAGGCTAACATCTCATCTCTAGTTCCTGCCATTCGCAAGAAGGCTGACTGGGCTCTAAAGTGGATCGCTGATCGCAATTCTACCTTTGCCCAACGTCTGATTGCCTTCGCTGCTGTTGAAGGTATCTTCTTCAGTGGTGCTTTCGCCTCAATCTTCTGGCTCAAGAAGCGTGGTCTAATGCCCGGCCTGACCTTCTCTAACGAGCTCATCTCGCGCGACGAGGGTCTTCACACTGACTTCGCTTGCCTATTGTTCTCCCACTTGAAGAACCGACCAAGCAAGGAAGTCGTAGAGGCAGTTATTGTTGATGCCGTGAGGATTGAGCAGGAATTCCTGACGGAGGCCCTACCTTGCGGTCTGCTCGGTATGAATGCCAACCTCATGAAGCAGTATATTGAGTTCGTGGCCGATCGTCTGCTCGTCGCTTTGGGCAACGACAAGGTCTACCGCTCTACGAACCCCTTCGATTTCATGGAGAACATCTCGCTCGGTGGTAAGACGAACTTCTTCGAGAAGCGCGTCGGTGATTACCAGAAGGCCGGTGTCATGGCCAGCACCAAGAAGAACGTCTCCAACGACGATGTCTCGCAGTCCACCGAGAGCAAGGGCGAAAACGGTGGTGACTTCACATTCGACGACGACTTCTAAGCGACTCGCTTGTTGTCTATTTCAATGTGAGGCATTGTACTACCTTCTCTCATGATACCCCTCCTTTCTTTTTTTTTCCTCACAAATTCATTCTACCTGCCTAGCCATGTACATTAGACTTTGTCAAAGGACGAAGAATTCTTTTCACCTCTGTTCGGCGTGGCATTATACGATAGACCAAGAGGCATGGCGAGCAATTCGGCAGTGTTATTTTTCATAACAATTATTTCCTTTCTGATTGTCATCGGTCGGCGTTGGGCAGAGCCAGCCCCAGAAGCGGCGTTCGGGGTTCTGAAATACTGGCGTTCTCATGGGGCTTGACAAGGTCTTGGTCACGGACCTCTGGATCTGGTGGGTGGGGTGGTTGGGTGGCTGGTGCTGTATAAAACGACTTGGGAGTGCGAATGCGATATCATGAGTCTGGAATGACACTGGATGGCGGAAGATGGAAGTGTAACTCTAGCTAGACTAGTCCTGGAACACTCGTGTGGAAGCGCCTAATGCAAGAGACGAAGTTCGGAATATGACTTATCCTATAGTCTTGAATGGCTACCTATGAATCTGACTATAGTAGTGCACTTGATATACCTCTATTCCGGTCTCTTCGTTGTAGCAAAGTTGGCTTATGCTCATGGATTGCATTTATGTATCATTCTCTATGCTTTTTCTAAACAGCTGTCTTCCGTCTCCTTCCCTTCCCTCT